TCCCGAATCCTCCACCATCTCCAGCGTGGTTTGCTTCATGGCCTGCAAGTGCCCCCCGCGGCGGAGGGCGCGGGGTTTGGGATCCTGCCAGAACGCCTCAAATGCCAAATTCCAGAGGGTTTGACTTGCTCTGGATCCCTGAGCCTAAACCCCGGAGCTGCCGAGGGTTCTGGGGCTGGCAGAGGCGAAGCTGAGGATGGAGTGGAAGGGGCAGGGCGGGCTGGGGAAGCCCCGGGCGGGATCGGAACGACGCTGCCCCTTCTCCCCCGTGCCCCAGCTGCTCCTGCAGCAGCAGGGGACGCGCTGAGCCAGCCAGAGCTGTCCCTGGCGCTGCTGGAAATGCTCACTGGTCACCCTGCGGTGCCCAACAGCCCTGGGACAGCGTGCTGGGGCAGGGGATGTGCTGGAATTCCCTGCCTTGGAGAGGGGAGGAGGAAGAGTTCTGGGGATTTTTTGTTCCTTGGAAGCTGCATGCGATTCCTCCTTCCCCAAAAGAGAAGAGCCCTGGGCGCTGCTCAAGGATCCTGGGAAGGGAAACTGAGGCACGGGAGGTGCTGGCGCCTCTGCAGCCCAGCCAGGCTCCAGGTTTATCCTCCAGATCTGCTGCTCAGGATGCCCTGGAGCGACGGGAGGGGAAGCAGAAGGGGAACAAAGGGATTTTCCTGCTGGATTCTGCCACAGGAAACCCTGGGAGCCGCCACGGAGCTTTGAGGCCGTGTCCCCGCAGAGGAGAAGCTGCAGCAGAGGAAATTCCTGTTCCCTTTCCCAATCCAAAGGTACAATTAAAGATTAATTGCCTCCAAGCAGCAGAGCTGGCAGCCAGCAGCATCTCCTGGTGCTGGGGAGCGCTGGCAGCTCCGTGTGGGGCTGCTCCTTTGGGTCCCGGGGATCACGAGTGCACCGTCAGAGCCATGCACAAAAAACACCAAAAAATTAAATTCCCATTGCTTAGCCTTGCATTTGTGCCTTTTTTTTTTTTTTTTTTTTGCCTTTTTAAGTTAGGAACTCTACAGATTCCTCACGGGGAAGTTCTAAAGTTCATGGCTGGAGCAATCATTGAATAAAGACATCACCAGAGCAGGTGCTGGACGTTTCTGTGCCTGTGGAAAAGGACACCTCTGCTCACAGCCGCATCACGGGGGTGCAGGATGGATCCTTGGCTGCTGGGGAACAAACTGGTTTAACTGGAGTCCTTCCTCTGCCCATCTCCCTGGGACCTGGGACATCATTCCTGCTCTTTCCCACACAATTCCTGCTCCCCTCTGTTTTTCCCAGGACATTTTCTGCTGGATCCCCTCGGGTACAAACATGGCAAAGGAAGCTGTGAGGAAACTCCTCCCCACCTCTGCTCTGCCCGAGCTGCTCCAGGGCAGGAATTATCCCGGGTTAGGCCCTGTCCCACCTGGGGGATGATTCCAGCTGGCTCCAGGGCAGGAATTATCCCGGGTTAGGCCCTGTCCCACCTGGGGGATGATTCCAGCTGGCTCCAGGGCAGGAATTGTCCCGGGTTAGAGCCCTGCCCCACCTGGGGGATGATTCCAGCTGCCTCCAGGGCAGGAATTATCCTGGGGGATGATTCCAGCTGCCTCCAGGGCAGGAATTGTCCTGGGTTAGAGCCCTGCCCCACCTGGGGGATGATTCCAGCTGGCTCCAGGGCAGGAATTGTCCTGGGTTAGAGCCCTGCCCCACCTGGGGGATGATTCCAGCTGGCTCCAGGGCAGGAATTGTCCCGGGTTAGGGCCCTGTCCCACCTGGGGGATGATTCCAGCTGGCTCCAGGGCAGGAATTGTCCCGGGTTAGGGCCCTGTCCCACCTGGGGGATGGTTCCAGCTGCCTCCAGGGCAGGAATTGTCCCGGGTTAGGGCCCTGTCCCACCTGGGGGATG